TACTCTCTTCCTCCTCTCTCTCTCTCTCTCTCTCTCTCTCTCTCATTTTTATCCTTTTTACTTGGTTTTTGCTTGATATTCTCTAATATTAACTAATCTCAAACATGCAGAATGGGTCGACGAACGCTCAACTCTAAAATCAAGTTTGGTGAATTCTTCAGATATCTCCATGCCCGCTGAGGACACAACCGATCCATTTGCACCTTCAACATCTACATTTAATGACCTAAACAGTGGCTCCTCTAACATGGATACCAAAAGGGGGCCAAAGTTGGAGGACTTTTTAGGGGGAGTCACGTTTAGAGAAAGCGGGACTGACGCGTTAACCTCCGGTATTTTCCGGCCAATTCAGCCATCACAGAGTTTTTCTGGCGAGTATTCCACCCAGAAGGCAATCGGATTATCGATGATCAAGTCCTGGCTAAGGGAGAATCCGGCCAAAGAGGTCACCGGAAATTTGAATAATAATCTACAGTCGCTAACTTTGTCGATGGGAACGGGGTCGAGCCCTGGTGTGAATGGTGAGAATGCAGCTAGTTCTTCCTCTATGGAGAGTGAGAGAAACAGGCCTCCTCCTCTTGATAGCCAAACTGGTGCAGTAGAGGCTGTGAATGTGAGGAAGCCAGTTGATAATTTTGGGCAGAGAACTTCCATTTATCGTGGGGTTACAAGGTATACTTGCAAGAAGTCCTTTACAATGAGAAAAGGGTCTTTTTAGAGTGAGAAAGTGAGTGTTCAAAATGAAGTTTGAGAGAGAGGGAGAGGCTGATACAAAAGATTGTGTAGTTCAAATTTGAATTTGAAGAGAGAGAGAGAGAAAGAGAGAATGGGACTGGTTGTGCCCCTGTAGAGGAGAGAGAGAACTAGTATGCAATCAATTGTGCCCCTCTGTTGGAAAGATAATTTGGAAGTTTGGAGGAGAGAGATCTTTAGAGTAATTATTGTTGGATTTGAATTATGTCGAGAGAGAGAGAGAGAGAGAGTAATTATTGTTGGATTTGAATCATGTTGAGTAGTGTTGATTTGGTAGTGTAGGCACAGATGGACGGGTAGATATGAAGCACATCTTTGGGACAACAGTTGCAGGAGAGAGGGCCAAACCAGAAAGGGACGCCAAGGTACACTTTTATGCTTCTTGTCTCCTCCTTTTCTATTTAATCTCTTTTCTAAGTGAGATTACAAGTCTCTTTTGATCATGTCACGTCCTTTTGGTTTATGTTCTCTCTCTCTTTCATGTGCTTATTTATGGCATTTTTTTTTATTTATGGTCTGTTTTTTTAACTGGGTTCCCTTTTATATTTAGAAATATTCTGACTGTTTTCTCTGGTCTTTTTTTAATCATATGCAATGCTCAAATTTGGGTCCGAATCGCCGTCCATCGCCTCACTTTTTGCAGTCTATCTAGGTATGTGATGCTCTATGATTCCACGTAATTCGTGGTGAAAACTAAGCAAAATTCACTAATCCTATTGAAATGTGCATGTAATCACTAAGAACTTAATATGATGGCGATTATCGGCATAAGTTCTAAGTAGTCATCAATTCATTTTCTTTCCTAGGAAAGGGGAAGGGGTAAGTTCTAAGTAGTCATCAATTCATTTTCTTTCCTAAGAAAGGGGATGGGGTCGTGGTGGTAGAATCCCCACACCTAGTTACCACATTGTGGTTTCCATTCCTATCAATAACACCACCCCACTAACAACTTAAAAAATGTAACTCCTAAAACGGGTAGGGGCGTGTCTTCCCCACTGAATTACCCAAAAAAAGAATCATTTTCTTTCCTCTATTATTGTCCTTAGTTTCAAAAGAAATCTAACTTTTCGACTGGTCTATGGCCCGAGAGTGAGAACTCCAGGTCTGATTCCGGCAAGTCTGATAGGGATTTGGATGGTTTTTGGGATTTTCGGCCTGAAAATCACCTACTTCTGATCCTTATTCGACCCAGTGATTTTTGAAACACGAAACGTTCTTAATGAAGTATCTACTTATTTTTGTTGTTTGAGCAGGCGGTTATGACAAAGAAGAAAAGGCAGCTAGGGCTTATGACTTGGCTGCTCTCAAGTACTGGGGCACTACTACCACTACAAACTTTCCTGTATGCATTTGTTTCCCAGATTGAAAATTTTGAGTCGGGTTTTTATTGTTTCAATATTTTATTTGTATTTGCTCTTTATCTTGTGTAGAGAATTATTGTGGCATGAATTTATTTTTTATGTATTCAGATCAGCAATTATGAGAAGGAGCTGGAGGAGATGAAGCACATGACCAGGCAAGAATATGTGGCATCTCTTAGAAGGTAACCATAACTGACTAGGATCTATGATTTTTATGTTTGATTATGGGCCCTTTTCAAAACTTTATTTTATTTATTTATTTATATAAATAAAAATTTCTACCACTTATTGCTTTACTAAATTAGTATTTCTCTAACTGTACAATTCATTAAACTAATTTTAAAAGGGTAGTTTTTTAGTTTCATATACCTCAAGTTTTTAGCTGCGCATTCTTTTGGGGTGTTTCTTTTCTGTCATATTAGTAATTTATTTTTTGTGTCCCATTTATGACAAATTGAATTTCTAAATATATTCAACCTTGGACTGGAGTCTATAAAATTAGTAGCATGTTTTATACATGCTTTCTATGATCCATTTTTTTAGCGTGAAATATGAAGTTCTATAGAGAATCATGCTTTGATTAATTTATATTTTTAAAGTTTTATGCTGGCCTCTATGTCTATAAAGTCTTTTAGGAGGTACCTGTTGCTTCTCTATATTTTTTAGGTTATCACAATCAAATCTTATATGGAACCAATTTTTTCTTTTTGCTAATATATTTCTCTCTGTATAAATTATTCTTGTGTTCAGAAAGAGCAGTGGATTTTCCAGAGGTGCATCAATTTATCGTGGGGTTACAAGGTATGCTTTGGCTTGGGTGCCATGTCTAATAATTTGGCATTAAAATATTGGGCATGAATTATCAAAGCCATGGTCGTGTTTGTTTAAATATAGGAGCATTGGTGCATCTGTCAGACTGTGGATTTCCTTTTATTGGAGATGAGGCTATACTAATAAAATAAACCAACCTCAATAATGCACATTCTTTAAAGCAATGTGGATTTTCTTGCTTGTTAGAATACATTATTTCCTCACATTTTTGGTAAAATAATATATATATATATATATATATATATATATATATTTATTTATTTATTTATTTATTTATATGCATGCATAACCATTCCTTTAAGCCTTGTTCAGTAGACTTGTCCATGGGTTTATAACAGGCATCATCAGCATGGAAGGTGGCAAGCTAGGATTGGAAGAGTGGCAGGGAATAAAGATCTTTATTTGGGCACTTTCAGTAAGTTTGTTTAAGCTCTTGGCATGATTATTTTGCAGCTTTATATCGAACAACCATGTTTATTTTGATTTGGTGGTTTTTTTTAAAGTTAATCTCATGATCTGATCCACTAAATTTATGTGTTATCTTATATTTTTTACTGCACAAATGATGTGTGTTATCTTATCCAATAAAATGATGTGTTTATGCAACGTGAATAATTGTTGTGTGTGAATTGAAGGCTATAGTTTTATTACAAATTAATCTGAGGGACTCGATTTTGAATTTCAAGGCTATTTTTTAGTGCAAATTAATTTGAGGTGAGGAGTCAGTTAGATCCCAAATTCCCATTTTATTCCTTTTTTTTTGTTTTTACTTCGATTTATTTTTTGTTTCAGATGAACTATTTATTTTTGGGGAAGTATGACATTGTTTAGCCCGCCTCTTCAACTTGGTCTTCTAGACTAGGGTGCAATACCATCTTGGTTTAAAAGTTATGGTAGACAAGTGGTATATAATATGTTGTTTTGATTGCGTTAAACCATGGTTTTGTCCCCTAATTGTGGACTTAAAGTGGTGGCAAGCATTTTGAAAGTTGTTATTATAGAATATTAAATAACATTTCATCACTATATTTTAAAATTTGAAGTTTCGAATACAGAACATTATTTGTATTTTTTTTTTTGGCTAAGTATATAATATTAATAATCTAAACTACAATATAATAAGAAGCTAGGTTCCCTTGTGCTTCGGACCCCTATTTGCTTGAGGGTTGTCAAGAATTCAAAGTTTCAAACCTTGAAGTTTGCCCCCAAGAGACCATACTAATTAACCTTTTTAAGTAATATTATATACATTTTTGGTACATATATAAAATATAAGGTAAATACCATGCTACACAGGTTAAAGCCAAAGACCATTCCTGTGCTTGGATTGAAGCAAAAGAAACATGCTTTATACTTCAAAGCCTAACATCACTATTTTTTTTATGGAACTGAAAGTTACTCATTCCTAGTTGGCCGAGTTTAGCTCAATATCTGAAGCAAGAAATACGCGGCCTAATTACTTAGCATGCAGATGCTGTAATTATTTTTTAATATCTAGGTAAGACTGCAACTAACACTTGCAACTTAGGTTTCAACAGACTGAAACTAAAATTTATGTTTTATTGAATCAAGTTCGGAATGTAAAACTGGATCCACTAAAATCGAAACTTTGGTTTGTGAAGGTACCCAAGAGGAAGCAGCAGAAGCCTATGATATTGCGGCCATTAAGTTTCGAGGACTAAACGCAGTCACCAACTTCGACATGAGCAGGTACGATGTGAATAGCATTCTTGAGAGCAGCACTTTGCCCATTGGTGGTGCAGCAAAGAGACTAAGAGACACTGAGGTAAACTCAGAGCCCAATTTAACAAGAACAAGGGGAGAGATAATGGTGCCTCAAGGCTCAAACTTCTTACTGGATAGCATCAACTGCTATGGTGGAAACTTATCTGCATATGGGTCTCAACATGGTCATCATCATGCATCTCAACAAGGCCATCATCATTCATGGCCCATCATGACATACCATGCCCAACCTCAGCCTCTTTTGGTGCAACACCCCTACCATGCAACATCAAGAGCATGGTGCAAGCCTGATAATGGTGATGGCCATGCCCGTGATACTAACATGCTTGGGCTTCAGTACCATCACCATGACATGATGAGGCCATCGTCTTCTCACCCTAACCTGGCTGTTGCTCATAACATGATGGCCATGGATGCACTAGATGCCGGATCGAATATGTCGACCAACATGGTTATGATGCCTTCAAGCTCGTCTTTTGGCGGTGATCATGGTGCCCATGAGCATAGGCATGACCATCATCACGCTTATATGCAGGATAACCAACAAGGGAACGAGTATAATCAGGCTGAGCAAATGGCTGGGATTCTCAAGGAGGACTATGATCAGAGTGCAGGACCCGGAAACTGGTCGACTGGTTTCATCCAACCGTCAGTATTTACAGTTTGGAATGATGCATGACCTCTAGAGAGAGAACTGATATGTTTGAAATGATGCATGATCTCTAGAGAGAGAGAGCTGAAATGTTTAGAGACATGAATTTAGGCTGAGATTTATTTTTAGGACACAGAATTGAGAAGTTAAAAAGTGATATAGAGGAAGAGAGGGAGGTGCCCTTGAAAAAGGGGATCAATTTTGTATAGTTGTAAACCATACCTTTTGGTTTGTTTGAGCAACTTCCAACTTTGCATTGAACTCATCGACCTTTACTTTAAAACCAGCTCCTCATGCTTGGGGGCATTCATGTCGCCTTTGATTATCATATGGGGCGATTTCATAAAGGAAGAAGAAAAGTTTTGAATATGTTGTTGTTGTTTTTATTATTATTATTGGTTAGAATCGGTCTATTAACTAGAAGTGAATAAAATTGAATTTTGTTTTTGTGTTTTCTTTTTTTTTTTTTTACTTTGAAAGGCTCCTATTCATTTTTCTCATATAGATTAGGGTGAGGTTTTTTGAAGGTCTCAGTGGGTGGTATCTGTAGGATTGAAAACTACATTGTGGTAACTAGGTAAGGAGGTGCTCCCATCAAGTTCTGTGGGCTGGGGAATTTTACACTATAGAGAGATTTTGCACTATTTAGAGAGAGAGGTTTTGCTCTATTTGGAGAGAGATTGCACTTACGTTGATTGCACTATTGGTTGTGATAAGAGATTGCAAATTGCACTGTTGGTTGTGATTGAGAGAGATTTTGCACTATTTAGAGAGAGGTTTTGCACTATTTGGAGAGAGATTGCATCGAGATTGCAAATTGCACTATTGGTTGTGATCGAGATTACAAAATTCACTTTATCTATGAGAGAGAAATCACCTGGTTGTGATAGAGATTACAAAATTCAGTTTTATCTATGAGAGAGAAATCGCCTTATTTGTGTGTATGTGTGAGGGGAAGATTGTTTACGAGAGCGAGATTGTTACCATGAGACGTTTTTTTGTGTTTACGAGAGCAAGATTGTTACCATGAGACGTTTTTTTTAGAGTTAATTATGTATGGATCCTGTTTACGAGAGGGAGATTGTTACCCTGAGATCTTTTTTTTAGAGTTAATTACGTTTGGACTTCATATAAGTAAAGAAAATACGGAGTGCTCCTCTTATATGCGAATATCTAGCCTCTTTTTTTTTTTTGACAAAATTATCCCTCAGTCCGAGGATGCCATCCCCGAACCGCCTTTTTTTTTTTTTATGAAATTACTTTGGATGTAATATTTGTATATAAGATGAGCATACTATATTTTTCCTATTTACATAGGATCCATATGTAAAGATGCTGAGATAAAATAAACCCGAAATAATAAAAATAAACAAAAATAACAGGGTTGAGAGAATATACTCTCTCTCAAAATCTGAAAAAGAATAACCCAAAAACGATCTTTTGAAAAGATTACTCAACTCTATTTACAATGAGGACATCATCCCTTTAAATAGACTTCAAAACAAATAACTAAAAAAAAACTCTCTCTCATGCGTATTAACTTTTCTCATCTCTCTTTTCATCTCCCTATTTTCTCTCTATTTTTAGTCTTAAAATATTTACTTCCAAAAGATAACCCAACTCAATCCGTATCTACTCTCTCTTAACCTCACGTGACATCCTATCTTCCATCCCCTAAATAAACCCAAAACATACGTTCCTATATCTAAACCCTATATCTTTTTTATATTTAAATCCCCTTAAATCTCTCACTAAATCTAGATAAAATCTCCTACTTAGCTGTACTTAACAAAAATCCTCCCTCTTCCTACTTAACTTTATCCTAATCCCAGCTCTCTTCCTATTCCTAATTAAAAATAAAAATAAATAAATAATCTCCCATTTTTATTCGCATCATTCTCCCCAGGTTGAGAGTAACTCAAATATTTTAGAGGCCGAGGCCTTCTAAAGTTGGTGATGTAGTCTCACCATGCGCCTTTGCGCTTTTTCTTCAATTTATTCATTAAGCTGATTCATCGATTGATTCGTGCTTATCTCGAAGTAGAACACAATGATCTCTGGCTCAATCTTGATTTCTCCTTCCAACTCACTTGGTTGGATTTCAAATGTTTCATCACACATATCTTCTTCTTCATAATTGATTTTCAAAATTTCTTGCACATTGGGGTTATCGACGTCTTATGTTGTATCAAGCTCTAGCTCTCTATATTCTTGTTGCACATTGGGGTTATCGACGTCGTATGTTGTATCGAGCTCTAGCTCTCCATATTCTTGTTGCACATTGGGGTTATCGACGTCATATGTTGTATCGAGATCTACCTCTTCATATTCTTGTTCTTCTGGCTCCGATTGCAATCTATGCAATACATCTCGTAGATATTTTTCTACTACTTTTCTAATACTATCTACTAGGTCGTCTTTGATTTTATTAAATCTTTGATCGAAACTCTCCATAACTAGATCAGGGATCTTAGGGCTCTGATACCAATTAATGCAAGGAGAAAATAAATCGGAATCATAAACATAAACAAAAACAAAATGATTGAGATAATATCTCATCACTCAATGTCTACATGGGAATCCATCCAAAAAACGATATTTTCACAATATCAACTTTACTCAACTCTCATTCTCTGATCATTCTCAGATCTGTTCACAACAATGTTTGCAAAATCAAACCGGAACAGTTAACCGGTCATGAGGCTGGTAGCGGTTTGAACCGGAACCGAACTAACCGATCAAGTAGATTTTTTTTAAAAAAGGGTCAAAATCCCCAAAAACAAATTAAAAAAAATAGAAAAACTCAGATTAAGTATACACCATCATATTACATACATTTATCTTGTAAAAAATTTGATACAACTTTTTATATAATTTAATATTTGAATATTATGAAAATATGCAAGACAATTTATAATTTCACATAAATTCAATAGGTGAAGTTTCAAAGTGCAACTAAAAATAGATGATGCACCAATATATGCTTCTATATTGTTTTAATGTTGATGTTTAAAAATGTTGTTTTAATGTTGAAAAACCCTTTAATACGGTTTAGAATTGGGTTTGAGAGTGTATTTTTTTGTAGCATGATGTTCCCAGCTTTACGAATGGTTGTGAGTCAAGGTAGTAAGAGAGAGCACCTCATTTACTTAGTAACTTGGTTATCAAATGCCGGGTGTGGGTCAAGTGTTAAGTGCTGCTTCAAATGGCCAAATCACATATTTTAAAAAAATATGGCCAAGTCGATTTTCAAATGGCCAAATCGATTTTGAAATTACCAAATTAATTTTGAAATGGCCAAACCGCATTTACTCAATAACCTTTTGAGTTGGGTTTTAACATGAAAAAAAAAAAATTATATAAGATGGCAACGTTAAAATGTAGAATTAACATGCATATTTTAAAAAAAAAAAAACCGGGTTAAGTTTTTATCCATTTCAGCATGTGGAAACATAAGAGATGAGTAAAGCACTTTTTAGCTTCTACTTTTTTTCTTCATAGAGGCTAATAAACAGATATAAGGAGTATGAAGTTGCAACAAATAATAGATAGCTTGTAACAAATAAAAAAACAAATTAGAAGAAAATGTCACAACTAAATAAGAAGTTGAGAACACAGACATCAGTAACCTACACCAAAAATAACCTTAAAAAGAAATAATTTTTTTCTCATATTCATCACAAAATAATTTTTTTATAAAAAATATATATAAAACATTAAAAACAATCCAACAAGCTCACAAAAAATGTATAACATTAAAAAGAAACAAATTTTTTCCTCATATTCATCACAAATAAACGTATTTTTGTAAAAAAATATATAACATTAAAAACAATCCAACAAGCTCACCAAAAAGATATAAATTTAGACAAAAAAAAAGAATATATTCTTTTTTTCTCATATTCATCACAAATTTCATATTTTCATAGGAAATTTATTTTAAAAAATTTGTTTTAAGAACCCTAAAATCGAGCCAAAGAATGCATAAACTTTAGAGTCGAAATCAACCCCAAATATTTCATTTTTTGAACAAATTGATATAGGGGTATGAGAGATACTTGAATTAAGATTCAAATGCACCAAATTTCATGAAAACGTATTCACTATTGAGATCTTTATTCAAAAAATTGCAAATTTTTTACTTCACGAAAATTTTAGGAAATACCACAACAAATAAAATTTGATATAAAAAAATTTAATCAATAGGAAATCAAAACAACTAGTCTATTTGATACATAAGGACTTTATGATCAAAATTCAGTGATTAATTCAATAAAAATCTATCAATTGATCGATCATAAATCAATTTGTTTGGATAAAAACAGTTCTTCGAGCAGCAGTACTTCGGGCCCAAAAAAACCTCAAATCTTCATCGTTTTAGAAAAATTGAATTATGTAAACATTGAATCCTTCAACAATCAATCAAAACCCTCCATTTATATGAAAATCTATGAGGTATTAAGCTGCATTGGATAGAACGGCGGAAATTTCTAATTTTAAAAAATCCCCATTTCAATCCACCAAGAACTCTTTGTTTTTCAACTTCTGATTCAATAATAGATAATCAATAGAAACTTTACAGTGTATAACATCCATATTTGACTGAAAAAACAAAAAAAGAACTACAAAATGGAAGAAAAAAATGCTGCAAAATCTTGATCTTTGAAAATATTGGGCATGTGTCAAATAACGGCTGTTATTTTATGCATTATAACAGCGTTATAACGCACGAAAACAACATTAAACCGGACTGGTTACGAAAACCGGCCGGTTTTGAAGAAAAACTGCCGGTTCGACATTTAACCGACCGGTTGTGGCACCGATTTTTTTTTTGAGATCCGTCTTACAATATGTACCGTAAAACCGGCCCTAACTGGAATCGCTACCCCACCGATAGCGATCTAACCGACCGGTTTTGCGAACACTGATTCACAATGAGAGACCTCGTCCCTTTAAATAGACTTCAAAATAAATAACTAAAAAAGACCTCTCTCTCTCACATGCACGAACTCTCTCTCTCACGTGCA